AAAAGAGGATTGTTATCCCCCACTGTTTTCCTTCCTTGAAGTCGCTTTAAAGAACCTGTTCACTTTTCCAGAAACAACATTCCTTATCATGATGTCATTGGTAATTTTCTGAGAACTGCTTAGTGGATTTTCCAGTTTAAGACTCAGACGTAGGGAAATCTGACCACTCACTGTTGGCCGCAATTAAAGAACCTGTTCAGCACTTATTTGTCTGTAACTGAATTCTGTATTATTCCTCTAACTCTGCTGTCAGGAAACCTTTGTCATCATTTCCCTTTTTTACTTTAAAGAGTTAGCCTCCTAGTCATCTCTCAGTTTTCTCCATGAGACGCGTAAACATCATTACCTTGATGCTCGTCTCTGATTCATCTGAGCTTGAGCATCACTGCTATTTTTATCTCATTTCCACTGCCTCACCTGGACGTCTTCATTTCCTCTCATTTGCAGCTCAGTTTTCTTTCCAACACCCTCTCCTCAAGTAGCTCTTTGCATTTTTTTTTGCAAATTTTGTACCCCAGTGTTGCTCTTAACTGCTAAAAGATCTGGGTGCTGCATCCCTCCCTCTTTAAGGGGATGTTTCATAGTTTTTACAGTCATTAGATGGGGAAACAGTCATGATGTAGGAGCTGGTGTGTGGCAGCGGCTCAGATCATGTGCTTGTCACATGATCGGAGCATAAATGCTCTTGAAAACTGAAGGCAGAACCGGCTGAATGAATCATGAATTTGTTGTAAAAAGCTCCTTTGTCGTTTTTGTCATGTGAGGAGCAAAAGTCTCTAAATGTGACGCCCACTGGCATTAACATAAGATGCACATGACCCGGTCCTCAGTAGAGCTCCTTTCTTGACATCAATATTATTTAGATACACAGAACATCAGTATAAAGTGGGCTGGTGATCTCCAGTAAACTAAATCAGTACATTTTCATTTGTGTTATTGGTGTCTTGTTATGAACATGCTGTTACACAGCATCAGTCAGTCCAGTTACAGGCACATCTGAATCATGCTAGGTCAATAAACCAGCTAATGTCAGCCAGAATGAGAGAGCCTGTTGCCAAGTTTACACGCCCGTTAGAAAATCTAAATATTGAGGGAAGTATGTTTGATTCCACGATGGTAGATGTTGACTTGCGGTCTTTTGTGTTGGCGTTCTTCTGGTTGGCCTATAGCGTCACACGAATGGTAAAAATAGGGATGGACAACATATCGGCATCGATATCTGTATCGTCCGATGTTAGTCATTTTTTTAACATATTAGCATTGGTCCGATAAAAAACACTGGGCCGATATTATCAACAGATTATTTTTTCTATCTTGCCACCATTTGTTTGCCTGTTTCAGAGGGTGAGGGGGGTGATGTGTGATTGTTTAGTCATGTGACAGTGATTGTAATCATCTCAGAAGCGTAAATGTGTGTGTTGTGTGTACATAATAACGTAAATTCAGCTTTAATCATTTTATTTTATACACAATCTGCTGGTTTTAGAAGCATTAATGTTGGTATCCGCAAATATCGGTTATCGGCCATAACAGTGACTTTAATATCGCATATCAACCCAAAAATTTCATATTGGTGCATCACTTAGTAAAAAAAAATACTCGCGGGCAGGGCTGGGCAATAACTGAAGTTTATCATTATCAAAATTTCTAACTGTAATCGATATAATTTTCCCATGTCAATAAAGTATAAAAAATGTAATAAATATAAAACATATATAAACATATATATATATATATATATATATATATATATATATATATATATATATATATATATATATATATATATATAAAAGACAAGTTGTGTGTAGCTTGGCGACAACCTTCATGTCCCTGAGAGGTTTTACCACCTGGAGTAAACGTACGTAACTCAACGTAATATACGTGACAGCCCCATCTAGTGGACAGCTTTTGTTTCTGCGCATACGTGTAGTTATCGTCCATGTAGCGTTATCTAGGTGAACTCCTCAATATACCGTGATACTGGTTTTTGGCCATATCGCCTAGCCCTACTGGCGAGGGTGATGCAGATGGAGTAAAAGTAGGATATGCACAATGGCTGAAGAAATGGAGAAGAACAGCGCCGCAACACCATACAGTTGGCACACACTTTACGGTTTGATGGTGTTACGCATCAAATGCACAGACTTGTGGCAATAATATTATCAAAAGTTTGCTTCTGCTGTCTCAACACTTCTTGGAGAGGGAGTGGCAAGGCCTGGATTTCTTTCTGTGTGACTGAATTTGTGAATGAGGAGGCAGAGAAACTGGATGAGAGTTGGATAATTTGGGTTCATTTGTCAGGAGGCATCCTGTTTTCGGTATAAAGTACACACAGCTCCTCCCTCTTTATGTATTTTCAAACAATTTTAGTGGAAAATTAAAAAAAACACTCTGCTCCCATACCTCATAGCTGTCCGTTCATCCATCCATCCATGGACTGATGGTGGTATTGTACACCAAAGGGCATGAATATTTAATCAGCTCAGATTACTCTATC